GTGTTTGGAGGAAAGTTGATGCTGGGGCAGAGCCCAGAGGCTACTATACCTTTGTGAAGGGGGAACGCTGTCCCGGGCCGGCGAATGATGATACCCAAACCGCTGAACTCCCAGGAGTGATTGATTAGCTCCTCAGTGTAATTGAAAGCCGGAAGGCAAAAAGTACTCTAAGTCCCGCTTTGGTTAGGGAAGGGTAAGTTCTAGCTCCATCGACCCTCAGGCACTGACTGGGATAGAGACCCAGTGTGTCCCAAAAGCCCAGCTGAGGAAAGGGGTGCTTTAATCGCTGTAGAAGTACTCACACGGGCTGAGACAATTCCCTTTCTACGGGAGGGCGACGGAACGGTGAACGACGAAATAAAGGGGTAAGGTTCTGAGCTCCTGATCCCCTTACCCAAATAAAGATAATTATCCCGCGCTTCCTTCACCTTTAAAGATCCTCTATTTGTCCCAACCGCCAGCAAATACTAGACTGAGAGCTGGGAGCGGCCCCCGCACCCTGAGGGCACCACTCGGGGTGGAGAGAGTGAAAAGTGGGGGGGGCGCTAGAGAGGAAAGGAGGGGAGCATGGCGGGCATGAGGCAGTGAGTGAAAGCGGGGATGGCGGGGGAAACGGGGCGCGAGGGAGGAGAGAAAGAGTAAAAGGAGAAGAAATGAAGGGACACGAGCTGGGGGCGCGCGAGGCCGAAGTGAAAGACCGGGGCGCGCGCGCGGAGCGCGGGGAGGGGATGAGGTGAAGGGGGAGCGCGAGGCGGGGGCGCGCGGTGCCGGGGTGGGGGGAGGGGGACGCAAGGCGGGGGCGCGCGGGCGGGCGTCGGCTCGCGGGCGCTTCCCCTCCCCCCGCCCCTCCACCTTTCCCTTCCCCCACCTCCGCCACCACCGCCTCCTCCCAGCCTCCCTCCCTTCCTCGCTCCTCACCGCCCCCGGGCGGGCAGGCGGCCAGGCTGGCCTAGGCCAAAGCTCCTCACCTGGCGGTGGCGGTGTAACTCCCGGCTAGCTTGCCTCCTCAGGCGGCGGCGGAGGCGTCAAAAAAGGAAGAGGTGACGGCACAGTGGTTCCGGACCCCGCTGACGGGACTGGGGGCGGGAGTGGGGGAGGGGGCGGGCCGGACCGGGGCAGGCGGAGCAGACACTGCGGTACAGACGGGGGCAGCGGCGGCGGCGGCGGCGGCTGCACCGGCGGCGGCGGCACCACACAAACAAGGACGCTGATTGGGCAGCTGCCAAGCGCCTCGGCTCCGCCTTTCCCACACGCCACGACGCCCATTGGGCGACCTAAGCCGGCCTCCCCGCCCTCTTCTTCTTGGCCATACCAATAGGAGATGGGATGCCGGGCCTACACCCCACCCTTGAGGACTGAGTGGCTGGAGAAGTGATGACTGACGTAGTTAAAACCCAGTCCTAAACAGAGGAGGGGGATGGTCTAGCGGGGGCGCGTTAATGGGTACCTCGGCCAGTCCCAGACACATCCGGGTCTTTGGCAGCCCATTAAGTGTCGGGGGTCAAAAAATCGCTTCAGGCTGCAACTTTACCTTAGAGACGTTTTGGTCCCCAGGCAGCCGCCGTACCCCAATGTCCCAAAACCGAGATTCCCATTTGGCCAGTTCTCATTCTTCCAATTCTAAAGATGGAGACTGGCGAACGGCGCTGGGCTCTGCTTTGGGTAGTGGTTCATCGTGACAGAATCCAGAAATTTCACTATAAAAGTAGCTTTAGGCGCTCGGGCCTTACTGTCTATCTGGGCGTGGCCTGTCTCCGTCTGCCAAAGGCCTTGAGCTGCCTGATTTTCGTACCTCAGCGCGGACCTGTCATGACTAAACCACGACAGCAGAAAGCAGGCAACTAGTCAAACTTCTGAGAAATTACTTGTGCAGAGCCCCAGCAGGTCCTTCTCTCAAGATCTCCTGTTCTGGTTAGGTTCACAGTGAGGGAAGCAGCCTCCCACCCGACCTACATCACTCAAAGCCTAACTCCTCTTGCTTAGCCACCCTACCTCCAGAGGCAGTTAGGCCCACCTACTCTCTTAGTGGTTTCTCGAGCATTTACAAGTACTGTTCTTGAGCACCTTGAGGATAGGGACCGAGTATCACAAGAGTCCGTGTGTTGAGGGAATAATAACATTTTGGGAGAGACTGTACAAGGCACCGTGACATACATGCTTTATCTTTTTCTTGTAAGAGCTTTACGTGTATTATTTTATTTCTCATAACTCCGTGGGATAGGTATTGTTATCACCATTTTACAGATGAGGAAACAGGTACCGATCAAGTGACTTGCCCAGTTACACATGATAAGTGGCAGAGCTGAAATCTGAACCCTGGTAGGTCAAGAAATAGACTAGAGAGGTTAAGGAACTTGCAAAGGCTAAACAGCTAATTACTAAGCAGACTCAGAAATACTGCTTCCAGAAGCACTATAATGTGTTTTTCAAATCATTTATAAGTTTTGCTGTGCAATGGAAACGAACCTGATGAAGGATGTGGGCCACATAAATAGATGGGTAGACCCTGAACACACACACACACACACATGCAGAAGCATGCCCCAATTCTTATTTTAAGTGGGTAAAAAACCCTCTGTTTCATTCTGTTATAGTGTCCAGGTAAAGAACAGGGTCTCTGGAGTCAGACTGCTCGAGTTTGGATCTTGGCGCTTCCCCTTACCAGGCGTGTGCTTTGGGAGCAAGTTACTTAACCTCCAGGCCCTTGTTTCCATACCTGTAAAATGGGAATAACTGGTAAGAGTACCTAACTCGCAGGGCAATTGTGAGGATCATAAAATAGCACATTTAAAATGCTCAGGACAGTGCCAACAATGTAGTAAGCACTTGATTAAACATTAACTATTAGAGTTTTCCTTGCTTTTCCAACAATTTCACCCTTAGTCTAAATTCAGCTTCTGTTGGTGTGCTACCTGTAGTACCTAATATGTAGTGCACTGGAAAGTATTTCTCTGCTAACCCTCTCATTTTAATGCTTTCATTGACTCATTTGCTTAGCACACATAATAGAGGACCTATTACATTATAAGGTACTCTTATATGTGCTGGGGATATAGCAGTAAATGAGACAAAGTCACTCCCTTCATGGAAGGTACAGTCTTTCCCTAACCTGCTGCTTTGTCCATTATCAGTTCAACACCTTCTCTGCTGTCTGAAGGGCCATTCTTCACGGGCTGCCAAGGAGATATGAGAAATACAGTGGTGGAAGATACCAGCCCAAGGAAGATACTAGTGAGGCCTGAGAATTTAAACAAATTAAAATCATGCTGTACAGGTGGCCTTTCAATTTGGAGGCTCAAGCTCCAAGGAAGACAAGTAAGTGAGGCCAGTGTTGTAGTGGCCATGATCTTTACCCTATGCAGGCTATACCTGTTTATTCATTTTATTTTTGAAGCTGATATTTATTGAGCATGCTTAGCACTTTCTATGGATTATTCAATTAATCTTTAAATAACCTCTTCAATTTTTAGATGAGGGAACATTGCAGCACAGCAGTAACTTGTCTGATATAATAAAATCAGAGGCAAGATTTAACTAAAATTTGTCATACTTGAGCATATGCACTCTAAAGTCTGGGAAGATAGATTGGATCAGGTAATTTGGGCAGATCCTTCTCCCTCCTACAGCTCCCTAGGCTATAAGACAGAGAGATGTCATTCCATTGGTGAGTACTCTGCTATTTGGAATTCCCAAATATTCTCATGGTTCAAGAATTCCATAGTTCTACCCATCTGAGCGTAGTACTCTAGAAGAAAGCCCCAAGATAAGAAACATAAGCTGAGAGGCAGGGGTGATTATCTTTACTGTTTGTGAACCAAGGGGCACTCCAGACCAGTAAGATGGTATGCTCTGTCAAGGTAGGGAGTGAGCCCTAAAATGCCCTCTATAATGCCAGACAGTTTAGCATATTGCTGGGCAGATTATCCTCAACAGAAACATGATTTCAGGAAGGCAGTTGTTCTCTTCCAGAAGGTCCTTGGAGATGACACAGGGAGAGACTGATTCTGTGGCATGAGGTCCAATCAGAACCTGAGATGACATAAGGGTTCCCCTCTGAAAAAGGCATCTCCTAGTCCCTGGCAAAACAGATGGCACTTCCTAAGCCTCTGTTTCCCACCTGTAGTTTAGGACCCTGGAGAAGCATCCTACCATGCTTAAACAGGATGGTCCTGTGGCTTGAAAGTCCCAGAATTCAGAAGTAGTACTTTTCTCTTCAACCACTCACCCCCACCCCCAGGAATTTGCACTGAAGGCTCAGGTAAGTTACTTCCTCCATTGACACTCCTGCTCTCCTTCCCCAAGTCATTTGTTTTGTTGGTTAATTCCCTTTAGTAATTGGTTTTGCAGCTCTGTTGTTTCCTGTGTTTATTTCATTATTCAGGAAAAGGAAAGAAAGGGAGAACGTCAAGTGGGCCAAAGGGATCAGAAAAATGATTCCTGTCTCCCCTATGCTCAACATGCAGTGAGCCCCTTAATCCCTGCTCTATTTTCCTGGGGCTGTCCCTAGGTGGAGACCCTGAGTGAAGATACTGCCTGCAACTAGAGCAACTAAGGAGGCCTAGGATGAATGCCAGGGCTCCCAGTACACATGAGGGCTGCCAACACCAACTACTGGGGAGAGGGTTGTCATCCCTGTGGAGGTACTGGAGAAGTTAGGAGGGGGACGCTGGAGGAGAGGAAAGAAGGCAGAGATGAGCTCAGGGCCCCCAGAGAATGGAGCCTTTGTGTGGGGTACAGATGAGGGACAAGGGGGTGATTGTGCGGGAGGGCCGGAAGTGCCACACAGACTGGCACCACCATAGCCAGCACCAGATTCACCCGTCTCCTGCTCCAAGAACTCCCTGTGCCCCAAGAGACCAGTAGCAGACCTGGTCAGGGAAAGCAGGGTGTGCCTGAAGGCTACAAGGGACGGAACAGGGGAAAGGAGGATGTGCAACAGGGAGGGGAGAGAGAAGTACGCCTCCCCCACTATCCCGGACCCAGGGACCAGGAGGCAGAAAGAAAAAGACAGAAGCAGTGTTTATTATATTTACATCCAACAAAACTTTGCAAAGAGCAATCTGTATTGCACAGTCAGGGCCCTGGCTGGGTGAGGCATTCCCCAAGGTGGAGTGGACATCTCCTCACTTTTAAGGAGCTACAAACCACTGGACCTCAGTGCCCCATTTCCCTTCTCTTTCTCACCGTCCATAAGAACCTCATAAGCAAGGGGGCTGTGGCTCCAGAATAAATAACATAATGAAATACAAACACTAAGGTAGAAAAGCATGGTGAGCCTGAGCTCCTTCAGCAATTCCAAGGAAAAGGGACCATCTTCGGTGGGGACTGACATCTCTCCCTCCCTTTCAGGGCAAAGGTTCAGTAGCTGTGTCTTTCCAGTTGTTTTTTAAAACAAAAACTTATAAAATGACCAGGGCAGTGCAGATCTGTGGGTACCCTGGAGGGGAGCATCTGATATGGGATGGGGAGGAACAGAGCTGTGCCGACTCCTCCAGGCCTCCTCCAACAGCAGGAGCATAGTGGGCAGGTTGGAGAGAGGGGATGTGAGACATTTGGTACCAGCAGGCCCCTCTTCCGGCCCCAACTTGGAGCCTGTGGCTGAGCATGCCTCGCGACCTGTGCTCAAGCTCTCTCTGAAAGGAACAGGGAAGCAGGTTATTGGTAAAATCCTTTCTCCCTCACCTCCCCACCTCAGGCTAGAGAGGGAAGCTAAAGGTTTCTAGCATTCCAGTGGTTCTCCAAAACATTTCCGGCAATCAATGGCCTTTGGGGTGGGCATCTGTGCCCGCCGCTGCCTCAGCTCTTCCTTGCCCATGCTGCTGGCCAGCTTGTTAAAAGCCGACTTGTACTTCTTGTCGAAGGCCACTGGGAAAGAGGGTGGAGGTAGGTCAGTATATTAGGATTCCAACCCTGCAGACCTGGGCCCAGATCCCTAAACTCCTCAGCCTTCTGCCTGCTCCCTCACCTATGTCCACATGGTCCCTGCCCAGAGCAGCCATTGTCAGGAATAAGATCTCCCGGTAGATGCCCCTGGAGTGGAGACAGAAGGGCATGAGTGAGGGAGTGCAGAGTCTAGGCCAAGCCACAGACCTCCCAGATAGGAACACTGTACCTCTGTAGGTGCAGGCCAGAGGGAGGGGGCCCCAGAGTTTCCAGCAGGAGTCCTACAGCCTTGTGCACCTCATTGAGACCTACGTGGCGAAGCACCGACTCCAGCAACGCCAGGCTAAGGGATGCAGGTACTGGGCCTGGCCATACCACTCGCTGGGGGATCTGGCCTGGGTAGGAGAAAGGAAGGTAGCTAGGATTATTGAGCCCTCTGGGCAGGGGGCCCACCCCTTCCCACCCAAGGCCAAATGCAGACTCACTGTGGACCCTCCAGAGCACATAGAGAGGTGGGCAGCTGTTGGGGTCGGGGGTCAGGACATCCCACAGCAGCCGCACCTGTACAGATGCTGGATCAGGTGTTAGCCAAGGAGATGGGGCCTGCAGGAGCCAAGACAGAGGAGACAAGCTCATGGAATGGGAGGCAGGACACGGGAAATTGTCAGGCGATGTTCCAGAAGGCGGAGGATATAGCCAAAGAGAAGAGCAGAAGGAACTCTCATCCTCCGTGAGACTGCAAACTCTTTGAGAGCAAGGACTTTGTTTCATAATATGCCATGTCCCTAGCTCCTAAAAACAGTGCTTGGAACCTAAAAGGTGCTGAATAAATACTGATGGAATGAAAAGACAAACACTAATGACTCCTTGTCTAGGTACCAGGTCTAGCAATAGCCCTGTGAGGTGAGCACTCATGCCATTTTACAGATAAGGCTCAGAGTAGGGAGGTGAAAGGCCAGGAGTCACTCCGTGTACCACTGACTCCAAAGCCTGTGCTCTCTCTGAGGGCCAAGGACACAGGCCTAAGAGACACAGAGAGATGAGAAGGGTCACACTCAGGAAGCAGGGACCACATGAGGACACTGACCTTGGGGGGTGAGGGCCCATCGCAGGAGGCCAGCACCAGGCATGGCAGAATACTGGGCAGGCGCAGCCGCTGGAAATACCACAGAAGATTCCAGAAGATGATGGGGTGGGCAGCAGGCAGTTCAGGCAACGCCAGCACCTCACTGCCCTCGTTCTCTACCAGCGACTCCAGCTCCTTACGCAGCACCAGGGGGCTCAGGTATGCCCACGCCCCACCCTCAACCCGCCGGGAGGCACCCTGTCAGGCACAAAGGGGGAGGGCAGTGGAGGGCATGTACCATGGCCCCACCCTCAGAGCAATGCCTCCCCTGAGCTTCTGGGATACCCCTGGCCCTCTCGGTGCCCATCTCCCCAGCACCACTGGGGGCCCCCACCACAGGGTAGCACAGCATCCCCCACATTATTCTTCACGCCCTTTTTGTCCCAGCCCTTACCCCCATGTGCCCATTGCAGAGCTGGGGCTCTTCCAGGGCAAGGCAGAGCCTGCGGTCACTGAGCACAGGGCCTGGGCCCCCAGGGACAGGAGCGTCTCTGCTGCCACTGGTATCAGCAAAGGCAGGCTTGGGGCTGGGGACACTGTAGGGGGACAGCAGGAAGGGTCAGCCCTCGGACCTCCACTTCCCTGTCCCACCCACAGCACTTGGCCCATTTGGGGGCACCTGGGTCGGGAATCAAGGGTCTGGACACTGAGCAGGGGCACAAAAGGGCAGGCGCAGAAGGGGCAGGTTGTGTTGAGGTTGGAGTCATCAGGTGCCCAGCCAGCCATGATCTCCTCATCATACACCAGCGAGTCACAGGCACGGCACAGGGAGCAGCTAGACAGCAGAATCTGTAGGCAAGAAGGCCTGAGAGGCAGCCCTGCCCGGCCTGCAGGCTCAGGAATTCGGGCGCCTTCCTAAGCCCTCCCACCTCCAAACCCAGCCCAGCCTCCTCCCCCCTCCTCCCCAGCACCCCCCTGGGACAGTGGATGGGTATGGTGGATGAGTGTGTGTTCAAGCATATGTGTGCGTGGGGTTATCCTCACTTCTAGGGAAGGCGGCAGGAAGGATCCAGGGGTGTCAGTGAGGCGCTCTGAGGAATGGCGAAGGCTCAGGCTACTGAGAGAAGATTCTGAGAGGTCCCACTCACTGCCCAGAGAGGCTGAGCTCTGCCATTACATGAGAAAGCATGGTCAGCCAACTGTACGCTCTTCACCAGGATGCTAGCTTCAGCTGCCCCACAGGCCCTCTCCCTGCTAGCAGCCCCTCGCCAGCTTCCTGGTGCTAGAATGACTGTCCCCTTCCCTCGCTGGCTACCTCAGAGGCCGTGGATCCGGGGCGCTCGCGGGGGCGCAGAAGGCTGTCCATGGGGCTGCGGCGGGCCGGGTGAGGCAGCTCGGAGGGCGGCTCGGTTTGGGGAACACGAGAGGCAGGGGAGCGACGGGAAGGAGTGAGCAGCTGTTGGAGGCGGGCACCCAGCCCTCGTCGGGGGGTGCTGGCCTCATCCTGATGTCCACCAGACTTGGGCACCCGCCCACTTAGCCCTTCCAGCGTTTCAGTGGACTGGGTACTCAGGGCTGAGCCCGAGTCCCCCGGGCTGCCTTCAGGTGCCGGCTCCTCCCCCGTCAGGCTCAAGTCTGAGAGGCTTCCATCACGCCAGGGCACGGGGGATCCCCGCAGCTCCAGCACCCCCAAGGCCTCTATCACTGCAGGCAGAGAACATGGGGGAAGGTGGAGCCTAGCCCCTCCTCCAGGAACCGAGTAACCACAATCCTGGCCGCACAGACTCTGGTACCACAACCCCTCCCATGATAACGTTCTGGGCAGGATTCCCTCAGAGCCTAGGGCGCCCACCACAGAGGACCGGCGGCCACCCTGGCCCTAGTTTCCCCTCTGTCTGGCAGGTGGTTATGAAAGCTGGGCGTTGGGGGGCGCACTCACTGTGGGCCACGCCGGCCTCCACAGTGGGCTGTGCTCCCCGGGCGCTGCCCAGGCTGCCGCTCTTCACCAGGCGCCCCATGGGTGAGGCTGGGTCCCGCAGGCTTCGCCCAGCCCAAGTCGTCTGGCGCTGAAGGGGGCGGGAAGGGGAAGGGCGCTCCAGAGAGGGATCTGTAAAAGGCAGGGAGGGGGCTGAAAGGCAGCCAGCTGGAAGCCCAGCCCCCTTTTCCAAGACGAGCTCTTTGCATAGCCCTGCGTTTGTAGGACTTCATCTCTTTGGTTACCAGCCAAGTGTGGTTTATCCACCCCCAGAACAATGCCAACTACTAGGTCTCCCCAGCTCTCCACGCCTCCCTGCCTGCACCCAGCGACTCCATCCCCAAGCCTAAGCCACCCATCCCCACCCACCTGTCTGGGAGCTGCCTGCCTCTCGGGCCACCTGCTGCTGCTGTTGCCGCCGTTCTCTCAAGGGCTGGCGGAACTGAGCAGCCCCCAGGACAACGTTCCGCAGCTTGGTCCAGCGCAGGCGTCCTCCAGGTGTACCAGATGGCCACTTGCTTTCTAGAACAGCCTGCCAAGCATAGTGCCCATCAAGATGGCCTCCTTCCACCCCCTGAACCCAGCCTGACACCCACTGCCTGTCCTGGAGCCCAGGGACCACCGTCCCCCCGCCCCAATGTCCTGCCAATGACTTAGCCAGGAACAAGAGCCCCAAAGCAGCAGCTGGCAGCAACTACCTCTACGGGGTCTGAGGAAGCCAGAAGCAGTGGAGACAGTTTGTATCCAGACTCTGCTACTTATAAACTATGTGGCTTTGAAGAAGTCATTTCACTTTTTTGGTCATTAGTTTGCTCATCTAAAAAATATGAGGCAGTTTAGTATTATGGTTAAGGGCCTGATTCACATCACTATGCCTGTGCTCTTAACTCCCTAACTTACTACACAACCTTAGACAAGTTACTGACTCTCTGCATCCTCACCACTTCACCTGGAAGGCAGGGATAGTAATCCTTCCACCCCACGGGGCTGGAGAGAAGATAAATGCTCTAAAATGTGTAATGTATTTGGAACAGTGCCTGGCTTTTGGCTAACGCGACCGGCGATTGTTGGCAGGTAGCAGTACTTGCACCACCTCCTTGTCAGGGCTGCTGTGAGAATTAAAGCAGCCAAGTATGAGAAAACTTTCTGTAGGTGCTAAGGCACTAGAGAAGCACGGTGAATTACATGGTGTATACAGACCCCATCTCCAAGGAGAGAGGAGAGCAGCAGGTGTCAGCGAGCAGTGCCCTTCCCACACACATAGGCTGCCTCCCGGCCCCACCCCAAATCAGGCACCTTGTTGTAGTAGCCATAGGTGATGGTGTTGGGCACGATGCCCGCCCGCCGCATCTCCAGCATGACCCGCACAGATAGCACAGGCTGCCCGTAATGTGAGCAGAGCTGCATCAGCACGCGGTAGCACACCTGAGCCAGGAGAGGTGCAGGATGAGAGGGGACTCACTCCCGGCCCAAGTCCTCAAGTCTCAGCAAGTACCCTTGTCCAGCCTCCCCAATTCTCACAGGCTTCACTGGCCCCTGGCAGTTCCTGAGGCGGCTGCAGAGCCACCCACCCTTCCTGGGGACCCCACCACCCTCCAGTCTCCACTGCCATACTACAAACATTTCCTTTAGTGAATGTCACGGAGCACCTGCCCAGCTCCAGGGCTTGTCTTGTGCTCCCCATCTGCCCTCCCCCGTCTCCACCAAGTGTCCCTCTCAGGCCTTCTGGAACTGGCATGGGTGCCCACCTCATCAGGCAGCACCACCTTGCGGCTCTCCATCTGGCGCAGCACATGGTAGGCTGTGTGCAGTGCCCGCACCCGGGAGGATGCAGACCGCACGTAGGCAGGCAGACACAGGAACCAGAGCCCGTAGCAGTGCCCCAGCAGGCACCGGGCCCACAGCTCAGGCACAGCTGCTGACTTCTGCGCCATCCGCTGTGCGACCTTCATCTCCTTGGTTGGGCAGGGGACACAACTGGGTAAGTACAATAGCAGGGAAGGGCAGTTCTTAAAAGGCGTGGGCAGCGGTACCCTCCCCGAGGAAGGGCCTGTGCTCCACAGGATGCCGCACACGCAGCCTGCAAGTTTCAGCCTTGAAGCTCAGGCAGAAACATGTAGCCCTTGAGTGTGGGTAGGTGCCCTGGGAGAGGCAGCAAGCCACTGGCTTCCCAGAGCCAGTCACCATGGTGGTGACAGTGGGAACAATTGCTAATGTCTTATGTGTCGGGCATATTTAAACTTCCTTCCAACCATATGGGGGAGGTACTATTACACCCACTTCACGGAAGCAGCAGCCCTCGGCCCGAGCCAGGTGCCTCTGGGGCCCAACTGCCAATTACCTGTTGGGTACGGCGAGGGGCAGGACTGCTGGGGGCACTACGGGAGGGGCCTGGCACAGGCAGAGCCCCAGGCTGCTCTCCAGGAGACTCAAACAGCTCAGCCCGTAGCTCTGGGAACCCATCATAGCTGGAGGAGCAGAGAGAGGCCACGTCAGGAGCAGTCAGTGCTAGCCAGCCCGTGGGGCCTTGGAACAAGTGAGGGGATAAGAAGCTCTCACCAGTACTGGGGAATGGATTCACTGCCCTCTGTCACCGGAGGCTCTTCGGGAGGCGTGATGAAGACGGTGAGCTCGCTTCCCGACAGCTCCTCCAGCTCCACCAAGGGTGTCGGCTCAGGCTTCTCCTGCTCTGGGTGGACCTAGAACAGGACAGTAAGAGAGTGAACATTAAGACAGTGGGCATGGAGCACGGCCAGGGTGCCAAGAAGACAGCATCTACCTGGAAAACACATTCACAGGGAAGGAGCAAGTGGGCCCAGACTCTACCTGGAGATGTAGCTGGGGGATGGAGCCAGGAATGGGAAGATGGTATATATATGAAGCCAGCCATGTATGGCTGCACAGGCTGTGCACTGGGCAATCCAGGGGCACCAAACCCATCACAGACAAGATAGAGTTGTGTTTATAGTGGCCCTGGAGTAACAGAGACAGCCAGGAGGAGAGCAGAGGCGAATGGACTCAAAGCGAAGGGACAATGCCCAATACCTTGTCAACACAAGAGTCAAAGAATTCCAGGGCAGCGTGCCGAGTGGAGCCGAAAGAGCACTCCTCGATGAACTGAGAGAACATCTGCGTGCGCAGCAGCTGGGAGTACAGCTTGTGGCTGGAGCGCTCCCGGGATTTAAGGAAGCCTGAGGGGGAAGAGGATGGGGCAGGGGAGGAAGGTCACCAGAGTTCCCTAACACAGCCACACCCCTCCTGAACCCCTTCCTTGGCTCACCGCCCACTTGGCAGCCAAGGCCACCAAAGCCATCTTCTCTGGCACAGCCATCCCAGATGCCAAGCTGACTGGCTCAGCTCCCAGCACCATGAACCCATAGAATCCCCCTCTTTGTCTGCACCCATGTCTCAAATGGGTTCTCCAAGAGCTGGGTCCCCTAGGAGAGCTTTGCCCATGGAGGCAGTTCACCACAGTCGTCACTCTGCCCACCCCAAGCCCAGGGCTCCCAGAGAAAGCAGATTTATCTTTACACCCTTACTTCCTCCAAGCCCAGAAGAGTGTATGGCTCAAAGCTGGTGTCCATAAAAACATTTTCCGAGTGACAAAATAGCAACGGAGTAGCTCCTTCCCAGTTCCCTCTGGCTTCCCCATGGAGCCCAGCCCTTGGCCACCCCTCCGAGACACCGTCCCCAAGCAAAGACAGGCCCTCTTTACCCTGCAGGAAGAAGAGGTTGTCAACATCACGAGCACCCTCAGAAGGGGCCTGGGTGAGCGGGCGCAGAAAGTCCCGGTAGCCCTTGAGCAGACAGGCCATGAAGCGGAGGAAGGCTCCCTGCACTTCGCGCTCCAGCTGGGCCCGGCGGCCACACACCGCCTCGTAGTCTGTCAGTAGGAATTCCAGGGATGCTTCCTCCTCAGGTCCAGTATATGCTGGCAACCAGGGCAGCCTGAGAGTCAGGACTGGCACCCACATGGCTTGCCTCAACCCTGCTTTTCACACAGAAGTCTCCATTGCTGCCTCACCACCGCCAGCTTCCAGCAGACCTTACATCCATACTGACTGAAAAATTACCCTGAGGTGACAGTTTTGAGCCTCCTCTACAAGCTGGACCTTCCCAGCATATTCAGGAACATTAATACTGTATGCCTCTTGCTCTTTCTTCAGTTGGAATTAATTTCTCTCACTTCCACCAAATGAAACCCTGACTGCCCTCTAGCCTCCTCAAGAAAGGTCTAGCTCTCCACAGGCCTCCCCAAACTGGGAATTCAAGTCTGTAACGGTTTCTAGCCCCCAGGCCCCCCCAACCAGGCCTCTCACTCTGGTCCAGCTGCTGGTACAGGTTTGTCAGTGTGGCGAGCAGAACCTTGTAGGGTCTGCGGGGCAGGGTCCGGGTGGAGAGGGGCTTCTTTTCCTCAATCCTGTGAGATAAGCAGAAGGAAGAAAGGGCCACTGGGCTCCTCACCAGCCTCCTCCAATTCTTGCCTGAGGCTCCTTTTGAGCAGGTGGCACTCCAGCCCTCTCATGCCACCCTCCCCGCAGCCCTGTGAATGCGACCCAGCCCTCTTACTGGAAGAGCGTGTTGGTATCAAGATCAACACAGATGACATCGGCAGGCGGGTCGTGCAGATCAAAATAGCTGGAGTGGATGCCCACAATGAAGGGCACAGGGGCGCTCAGCACATCTGCCAGCACCAGCGGGCACAGCGGAATGTAGGGGCACTGCCAGTGCAGTGGGAAGATCATCTGTAGCAGTGAGGAGAACCAGTGAGCAGGGCTGGGGCAGGGAGGTGTGAGGGAGAGAGGGGCCAGTGGCCTTGTGGGGCAGGTCCCATTGAGAGAAGCTGTTGGAGGTGGGCTGCCAAGAAGCACCCTGGGGCGTTTTTGCAATGGACATACCGTACACTGCAGCCCTCTCCCCCACTCCTCTGCCCACTGCACCTTCCAGCTCCATCCGAATCTCCCCCACTTCCATCTCCTAGCCCCCTGACCCCTCATAATCCCTTCCCAGGGGCAGGGGAGCTGTGCTCACGCTTCCAAGGGCAGGCGATGGGGGCCTGAGACGGAGTAGCGGTAGAGGAAGGTGAGGAAGGCGCGGAAGGCCTGGAAGGCTGGCCAGCGGGACAGCACGGCAATGGCGCGGCGGCTGCGCACAGCTCGGCCCCCCAGGGCCCGGCCCCGCTCCACCGCGCTCAGCAGGCCCAGGGCCCGTGCCTGCCGCTCCGACAGCCTGGCCCTCGGGAAGGCTTCATAGAACTGCAGGGCGGCACCATACACCTGGCAGGGGTGGAGGCCCAGTCAGGTGGGGCCTGCATAGCTGGGACCCCTCACCACATTCCATGCACCCACCTTATCACCGGCAGCACCCGTGAGCACGAAGGTGGAGAAGACAGGCACGGGGTACTTGGTCTGGGCAGGCCAGCACTCGACAGTGGCCCCCGTGGGCAGGCAGAAGACAGGCACTGACTCAGGCAGCGGGAATGCCTCATTGTCCTCCTCTGGGTAGCGGCCCAGCAGCTCTGCACCCCCGGTGGAGCAGGGGGTACCCAAAGGGAGGAGGGTCCATCAGACTCCAGGGAAAGAACCAGGGGATTCCAGAGCAGGGTTGAGTGGCAAAGGGGAAGTGCATTCTGGAAGCAGTGAAGGTGCCATCCAAGAGGCACCAGGGCAGAGAGGGACATGGAGGGTCAAGGGGTTGAGGGCAATGGAGCTACTCACCTGCCTCATACACCAGTGTGTTGGCCTTGGCCAGGCCCACCTTGTAGCACAGGTACACTGCTGGGCCCCACTGCCCCCAGAAATGAGACAAGCAGATATATAGCTAACAAAGGTGTCTGGGGTCTACTTCCTCCACCACTCCTAAGTGGTCTTGAGAAATACTACTAATCCCAGTCACCTAAGACTACGGCCACCCTTCCCGACCCACCCCTGCCACTAGAGGCCTTGGTCTTAGGAGGCCCTTTATGCCCAGCATCCTCACCCTCACACCAAGATGGTGCAGGTCTCAGCTTTTGGCCCTAGGGCCCCACTCACCATGCCAGGGTTGAGATTGCGGTGTAATCGGCAGTAAGTATGAGGAGTGCCCTCGCCCTTGCTAGGCAGCACCAAGCAGAGGTCGGTGATGCCCAGGGCATGCAGCCCTGCCCCCTCAGCTGCCCGCCGGTAAGTGAGGTAGGTGCGGGGATGCCCAGGGCCTGGGGGGGCCAGGTTAGCTGAGTGGCTGTAGGGTGTTGTGTCTAGCACTTGGAAGCCAGGCTTCAGATGCTCCTTCCCCTCATACAACACCCTGGGCAGAGAGCAGAGATGCCAAGATGCCAAGAGTTCAGAGCAGAGGAGACCCCAGTCCTGCCAGATCTGCCTCCCTAGTCCTACCCACCTTGTCAAACCCTGATGCCAAGGCCCACTTCTTGCTAAACTCTGCCCTCAGCTCTACCTCTTGATCAGTAACAACCCTCAAGCTTCCAAGGTTCTCACGCTCATTAATAAATGCTAAGAAAAGCTTTCATTAGCTGACTCTGTGCTAAGTCTCTTATATGGATGACCTCATTTAATCTTCTCAACCACCCTATGAGGAGGTATTATTTTCCCCATTTTACAGATGAGGAAATAGGTCCAAAGGGTTCAATAACCTGCCCAAGATCAGAGTGAACGAGCAGGGGCACTAGAACATTAGCCCGAATCTGTGTGAGGATGAAGGACAACAACTCCAGTCCCTCCTCCCTGGCTTCTTGCCCGCTCTACCCATTCCACTTGCCCAACCCTCATCTATCCCCCCACCTCTCCTTGCCTCACCCCAGAGCCCCACCCAGCCTCCCCTGCCATCCATGTGGGTAAGGGAACAAACCCCAGTTCAACGAGGGGGGGCTTGTCACGGCCCCTGCGGTAGCAGATGACAGGTTGAGTTCCACCCAGGAGCCCAGCACTGAGTTCCAAGGGGTGGCCCCCCACTGGATGGAAGCTGTATGTCCCTGTAGGCTGCGTCCAAGGGCAAGGCTGAGGAACTCTTCCCAAGGAAGGAAAATTAAGAGACCAGGCAGGGATGGGGCAATGGGAAGAACATTCTGGGCGGGGTGGCACTCACAGAGACGAGGGCCTCACAGACACTGGTGAGCAGGTCCGGCCGCAGCGAGTGGACTAGTAGTTTGTGCTCTGTGAGCACAGCCAGCAGCAGTATGATAGCCAGCTCAGGGCCCAGGCTCTGCAGCAGCTGCAGGAAGCTGGCACCACTGTGGGCAATGGCAAGGTGAAGAAAAAGGGTTACTAGGAGACACTGAGGACCCTTCCCTAGATGCTGGGCACAGACACCACGCAGCCCAGCCTGCACAGACCTCAACTGCCTGGCTGCCTGGCACCTACCATGTCCTTGGTTATCAAAGTCCCCCACCCTAGGCACATACCTGAGGGGCAGGGGTGAGGACACAGGCTGGCAGAGGAGCAGGTTGTCATAGGGAGACATCTGGGAGGCAGAAACGCCACAAGTTGGGAGGATGGAGGCCAGCCCCTGCCCACTGCCCTCCTCCACCCGGCCCCGGCCCCGGCCCCGGCCTCAGCTCTCACCTGCACCAGAATGCGGGGCCTCTGTGGGGAAGGGAAGGGAACGCTGTGAAGGAAGTGGGAGATGTGCCTGGGGAGAGAGGGACACCGGTCAGAGGCAGACTGCCCCTGTCTGCCCTTTGTCATCTTTGCTCTTCTCCCTCACCTGACCCCGAGAACCTTATTCCTCCCTGAACCCCACCTGGAGAACCACGTCAGCTATCAGTGCCTCCATTATGCATAGAATTTGTGCAAATTGCAAGACAGTCGCTCTGGGCACACGGCTTCTTACCAGGACTTAGACTGCAAGTGTGGACTGGATTTCAGGCCTCACTCCCCTGGCCTGGGGGCGTTTTTGCAATGGACATACCGTACACTGCAGCCCTCTCCCCCACTCCTCTGCCCACTGCACCTTCCAGCTCCATCCGAATCTCCCCCACTTCCATCTCCTAGCCCCCTGACCCCTCATAATCCCTTCCCAGGGGCAGGGGAGCTGTGCTCACGCTTCCAAGGGCAGGCGATGGGGGCCTGAGACGGAGTAGCGGTAGAGGAAGGTGAGGAAGGCGCGGAAGGCCTGGAAGGCTGGCCAGCGGGACAGCACGGCAATGGCGCGGCGGCTGCGCACAGCTCGGCCCCCCAGGGCCCGGCCCCGCTCCACCGCGCTCAGCAGGCCCAGGGCCCGTGCCTGCCGCTCCGACAGCCTGGCCCTCGGGAAGGCTTCATAGAACTGCAGGGCGGCACCATACACCTGGCAGGGGTGGAGGCCCAGTCAGGTGGGGCCTGCATAGCTGGGACCCCTCACCACATTCCATGCACCCACCTTATCACCGGCAGCACCCGTGAGCACGAAGGTGGAGAAGACAGGCACGGGGTACTTGGTCTGGGCAGGCCAGCACTCGACAGTGGCCCCCGTGGGCAGGCAGAAGACAGGCACTGACTCAGGCAGCGGGAATGCCTCATTGTCCTCCTCTGGGTAGCGGCCCAGCAGCTCTGCACCCCCGGTGGAGCAGGGGGTACCCAAAGGGAGGAGGGTCCATCAGACTCCAGGGAAAGAACCAGGGGATTCCAGAGCAGGGTTGAGTGGCAAAGGGGAAGTGCATTCTGGAAGCAGTGAAGGTGCCATCCAAGAGGCACCAGGGCAGAGAGGGACATGGAGGGTCAAGGGGTTGAGGGCAATGGAGCTACTCACCTGCCTCATACACCAGTGTGTTGGCCTTGGCCAGGCCCACCTTGTAGCACAGGTACACTGCTGGGCCCCACTGCCCCCAGAAATGAGACAAGCAGATATATAGCTAACAAAGGTGTCTGGGGTCTACTTCCTCCACCACTCCTAAGTGGTCTTGAGAAATACTACTAATCCCAGTCACCTAAGACTACGGCCACCCTTCCCGACCCACCCCTGCCACTAGAGGCCTTGGTCTTAGGAGGCCCTTTATGCCCAGCATCCTCACCCTCACACCAAGATGGTGCAGGTCTCAGCTTTTGGCCCTAGGGCCCCACTCACCATGCCAGGGTTGAGATTGCGGTGTAATCGGCAGTAAGTATGAGGAGTGCCCTCGCCCTTGCTAGGCAGCACCAAGCAGAGGTCGGTGATGCCCAGGGCATGCAGCCCTGCCCCCTCAGCTGCCCGCCGGTAAGTGAGGTAGGTGCGGGGATGCCCAGGGCCTGGGGGGGCCAGGTTAGCTGAGTGGCTGTAGGGTGTTGTGTCTAGCACTTGGAAGCCAGGCTTCAGATGCTCCTTCCCCTCATACAACACCCTGGGCAGAGAGCAGAGATGCCAAGATGCCAAGAGTTCAGAGCAGAGGAGACCCCAGTCCTGCCAGATCTGCCTCCCTAGTCCTACCCACCTTGTCAAACCCTGATGCCAAGGCCCACTTCTTGCTAAACTCTGCCCTCAGCTCTACCTCTTGATCAGTAACAACCCTCAAGCTTCCAAGGTTCTCACGCTCATTAATAAATGCTAAGAAAAGCTTTCATTAGCTGACTCTGTGCTAAGTCTCTTATATGGATGACCTCATTTAATCTTCTCAACCACCCTATGAGGAGGTATTATTTTCCCCATTTTACAGATGAGGAAATAGGTCCAAAGGGTTCAATAACCTGCCCAAGATCAGAGTGAACGAGCAGGGGCACTAGAACATTAGCCCGAATCTGTGTGAGGATGAAGGACAACAACTCCAGTCCCTCCTCCCTGGCTTCTTGCCCGCTCTACCCATTCCACTTGCCCAACCCTCATCTATCCCCCCACCTCTCCTTGCCTCACCCCAGAGCCCCACCCAGCCTCCCCTGCCATCCATGTGGGTAAGGGAACAAACCCCAGTTCAACGAGGGGGGGCTTGTCACGGCCCCTGCGGTAGCAGATGACAGGTTGAGTTCCACCCAGGAGCCCAGCACTGAGTTCCAAGGGGTGGCCCCCCACAGAAGCCTGGATGCACGTGTAGCCCTGGGGCACCTCCTCGCCCAGTGCCCTTGCGATGATGGCCACATCTGTGATGGGCTCAGCTGGTCGGGGGGTGCGCAGGGGCCCACTGGGCTCAGGAACCCACGTTTCCTCTGGGATGGGGGCTCCGTTCCCTGCAAGCCCAGCTATCACGAAGTAGTCCACCAGCCGGGGGGGCCGCTCCTCCGCCATGGCCCCCCCCTCACTCACTGCATCTGGAAGTGTCAAGTGGGGGAGAGATGAAGCAAGGAAGCCTGGTGTCGCCATGGCCACCAAGGTGTCCCTCTTGCTCCCCTCGTCCTAGTCCTTCCAGGGAAAGGCCAGATCAGTGGCCAGCCAATCTTGAACTCTCCCAGGCCCTCACTGCCCACTGCAGCTCCTTAAAGAGACCTGGACCCTCCTGTTTAGTGGTACCAGCCCTCTCCCCAAAGAACCTAAACTCCACCGCCCAGAGGTAACCTAGGTTCTGACATCTGTTGTTCCTGATTACTTTGAAAGGTCCCTTCCCTTCTCACTCCCTACCCATATGGTTAGACTGGACACCACAATCTTTTCTGTAATGGTCTGCAATGACATCATCTATTCTAGCCATGACATCATGACATCAAAACTTAGTCTTCCTCACCTTCCTGCTCTAGTTACCACAACATAAGAACTTCAAGATTCAGCTAATGTTCTTAAAGAGCCCACCTTTAGGTGTTTGAGGATGTCTTAGGTTTCCAGGAGCCCACAAAACCCAAGTTTTAGTGTCTTTCACCAGACTCAAATGTCCTTCCTAACTTAACTCTACTAATCTGAGCAATAAAACAGTACCCCACCATCTCCAGGATCCTTAGATATCCCCTAGGTTAAGCCCAAAGCAGCAGTGGGAGAGTCCCTAGCCATCCCCAAGCCACCTCCACCGAGCTGAGACTGGAACCGGCCCACCACAGCCTTCAGTAACTGTGTTCTCACCTGCCTCCATGGCCTAACCCCAGACAGTAGGAGTCCCAGAGGTCCTGGGGGCCCTAGGGTGGAGAAGCTGGGAAAAAGCTTGGTGGGTGGCTTGCAGCAGAGGATCGGAGGCGTGGGGGCTGCTTCAGAGGGGAAGGGAGGTGACTTCCTGAAACACTGGAGGGGAAGCTGCAGCTCAACGGAAGTCAGCCTATGGGTGTGTGTCTGTGTGCGCGCGTTTGGTGGTGGTGGTGCTGGTGGTGATGGTACTGTTTAAGATGCCAATACAGCATCATGCCAAGTCAGAACCTTAGACTAACGACCCCGAGAAGGGCAGAGGAAGCTCAGATGGGTTCAGGAGGCACAGTCTTACTTAACCTCCCATACTTCCCCGGGGAAGAGGGAGCAAGGGAATCTTATGGAGCCTGGCTCTCTCCTTAACCTGGCCTCTGGCCACACACACCCCAACTCCCGCTAAATTTAGCCTCCACGTCTGGGAGGTGGAAGCCGGGAGTCAGCGTCAGCCTCCTGATTTAGCTCTGGAGCAGAGCCCGTCCGTCTTCCACTGCAGGCGAATGGGAGCCCTGTGTCCCAGGCAGCAGCCAGGATCTATTAGGTGGGACGTGCAGCGGGGCAAGAGGGTGTCCCTCATCCGCAGGATCTGCGCACTCGGGCCTCCCGTCGCCGAGCCAGGGGGGGAGTCCTGCAGAAGCGAGCCCTTTCTCCCAGGGGTTGGCAAGGGGCACGAGCGCCACTCCAGGTCCCAACGCCCACAAGCCGGGTGACGGGAAGTTCGGGTTGGGGCAGAAAGCGCGCCGAGCGGGAGTAGGTGAGGAAAGAGCAGGAGCGCAGAGAGAAGCGGGCGCGCTGGCGGCCGGGGACGTGACGGCAGCAGCGCTGGTCGCCCCGTGACCCGAGTGGGAGGGAGGGCACACTGCCTTCCCTCCGGTCTCCCAACTCGCGGGAGCAAGCGGGGTGCAGGGTGTCGGGGCACAGCTAGCTAACTCCGGGCTGTGCCCTTCCCTCCACTTTCACTTCCCCAGGAGAGAGGAAGCGGAACCAGATGTGCAGCGCCGGAGAACAGCTGGGGGACAGCCCCGGCCCGCTGGCCCTCCCTCCCTGCCTTCCCCGCCCGCCGCCCCGCCCGGTCCAACCCCTACCTGCCTGCCCCGCGACTCCCCGGCCGGCCGGCCCGCGGGCGGGTGGCTCCGAGGGCGGGCTGGCGGGCCGGCGGGCTGAGGGGCTACCCAGCCCCGGACATGGCGCACCCGACTTGGGCGCCGCTCCCGCCCGGGCGACCAGGGAAGGAAGAAGAGGCGGCCGAAGGCGCCGGGGCGCGGGACGCGGTGGAGGGAGATCCGGGCGATACCAGCGTCCCCGCCGCGTTGCGCCAGGCGGGGACTGTGCTGCGGCGCCGCTGGCTCCGGCCGCGCGGGCCTCCTACTCCCGCCGCGCTGCGGGCCGGGTGCTCCTCCGCGCACCCCGCTTTCTCCGCTTCCCCCACCCCACCTCCGGGGCCGCGGGCGCCGCCGCTACCCTCACCCCCACTCCCCAGCCGGCGGCCGTGACCCTGGCTGCGCCTGCCCAGCGCCCGGCCGCCTGCAGCGCGACCCCTGGCGGCTGGGAGGGCCCCATGCACGCTGGCAGCCTCCCACTACCCAGCTGGAACCTCAGGACACTGACCCTGGGCGGCCCCTTAAGTCCAAGGCGCGCTGCAGTCCCTTTCTCGGTCCTACTCAGATGTGGCGGGAATGCTGGGTGACAGCCCTGAAGGCCTAGGCTGCGGACAGCAGGTGGCTCCCCCTACTTCCAGGTTTAGGGCTGACTGCATTCTCTTCGGGCCTATGCCAGAAGCTCTCAGTTCTCTTTTCTGAGAATGACAGCTTTGGAAAGAGGAAGAGGAGAGGCCAGGGCTGTAGGGTGTGGAATAGTAGTAGAAGTGAGGGTAACTATTCCCCTGCCTATCCTAAGTGGGGAAGAGATGAGGACGGCAGCGTCTCAGATGGTCAGAGGGCTAACAACCCAAGCCTGAAAGAGGAAGCCTCTTTAGAACGTGGTTAACACTCAAGCATCTGTTGAAGGAATGAGTGAAGAGTGGGGAGGGTGAAGTGAATTCATGCATAGTGAGAGGTAAGGAACAAGACCTAGGAGCTTCCCTAGAATCTCCCCTGAAGGGCATGGGGTCAGAGGCAAGCCAAATACCACTTGTCTAACTTTTGGGTCCTCTAATGTTCTAGGGCCATAAAGAAGAGGGAGTGAAACCGAGACCTGCCTGGCATCCGTAGTTACTGTTAAATCCCTTCCTTGGGGGCCAGCTCCCTGGCGGGGGAAAGCTGGGGTCATCCTACCAGACATCCGACCTGTGAACTTAGCCAACAGTCAGTCAAATCCTTATCCCGACTCGCTGACAGCCCTCAGGGGTGAAGAATAGTAACATGCCTGGCCAGTCAGCCCATCCCGATGCTGCAGCTGGGCCATGGACAGGTGGAAGGGCACATAGGCCGCCATGGGAGCCTACATCCAGCCTGGATCTCCATGTCCAATGCTGGGTGCAAATTCCGAGGCTGAGGGGGGCTCCACAAACCACAGCGGTGCTTCTCTGAGAAGATGCAGAAAGCATACGCAGATAAAGGGCCTGTGCCCCAAGACCTCCCTAGATCCCAGTAGCCAACCACACCAAGGTTTGATAGAATTTTTTTTATTAACATATAATATATTTAATAAAAAATAATATCCACTCTGGCTCTCTCCTCCATTGCAAGGGGAAGAGTGGTAGGGAGGGGCTGGCACTGCCCACCCCTAGGCATCTGGACAAGCCCTGCCTCCGGGCTCCCCTCTACCCCCTGCTTTCCAACAGGCTCTGACCTCCAGACAGACGCTTCAAAGTTATAAGTGCTTTAGGCCCTCCCTTGAGCTCCCCCAGGCCCACCCCTTGAGCAGAACTCAGGGGCCACATGGATATACCCCTTGCTTTTTCTCACTCTTGGGATCCCTCGTTCATGTTAGAAAGAGGAGCTGGGGGCAGAGAGTGGAGTCTCTACTGGCCAGGGGAAGGGAGGAAAGGTACGGTGATGGGGGAACAGGGCTAAGAAGAGGGATGGCAATGAGGTCCCTTCACTGGAGCCGGTCACTGCGGAATGAATCCTCCACAGCAGGATCTGGCAGCAGGGCACAGGGGTCGCTCAGCATGTTGAGCCCTTCCAGGCCCAGCGGCTCCATGCGCAGCTCCTCCTCCAGCCCCAGCCCCAGCTCCAGCCCAGCTGCTGACACCTCAAAGCCAGGCACACCGGCTAGGGCGGCTGCGATCTCCTTAGAGAAACCTGGGGAGGAGTCTCCTGTGTGGGTAGAAGAGATCGGTGAGGACACGTGCCCCGTAAACTCTTCCAAGACCCCCTCGATCACCCGCTGTGCCGACCAATGCATCACTCCCTCCCTCCCTCCCTTATTATCACCCAGGGCTCACCTGTGAGGATGATGTTAGGCCCAGAGCCATGGCGGGAACAGTGGGTCAAGTTCTGGTGATTGAGGGCGTGGGGGTCCTGGGAGCCACACACTGGCCCCTCACCCCCTAAGAATCCTGGCCCTTCAGAAAAGCCGGGAGGATCCAGCACCAGGCTGGCTGATGGGCTCTCCATGCTGAACTGCTCCAGCTGTGGGCACACAGACAGACCTTGGGGAGGGGGCTTCAGAACACTGTGTGCCTGCCTGCCCCTGCCTAGCCCTGTGACCTTATTGCCTTTGCCCAGCAATCTTCATCCCGCTAGGAACAAAAGCAGAAACTCAGGGAGATGGCAGCAAGCAGAATGAAAGAAGTAAGCATGGGACCCAAAGCTGGTGTAGGCACCTTACCTCACGGGACAGAGCATGTACATGCCAGGAAGAGAATGGGTGAGAGCAACCATCATCAAAGAGGAAGCTGCCCTGGGGCAGCTGGGAAAGGAGACGGGAGTGGGGTTGAATGCAGGAAGAGAGGAGCCCAAGTTGGCAGTGCTGCGTTACCTGCGGGGGAGACGGATCTCTCCCAACCCAGATGGCCCAATCCAGAGTGCGCCAGCAAGACCACTCGGGCCCTTTCAGACCCACCGCCAGGCCCTCCCCTGCTCCTGTGTTAGAGATCTGGGTACTCACATTCCCCAGGCTGAAGTCACTCATTGGCCGGTGGTACGATTGCTGCCCGTGCCCAGTGGAGCTGGGTGGGTACAATGTCCCACAGTGCAGCTGCCCGCCTGGGGACTGTACAGAGCAGGCCTGAGAGGGCAGCCCCGGCTGCTGCAGAGGCTTTGGGGCAGGGGGCTGGGTGGGCAGAACCACACTGGGCGGGCTGTACGGGTATGGAGGCAGCCGCTGGTCAGCGGGCCGTTTGCTGGTGTCCAGGGGAACGCCCTGAGGAGAAGCAAGGAAGAGGAAGGCCACTTACCCCTCAGGACCCGCCCAAGAAGAACTCCTGGCCAGGGCTTCCCACCTTCTTAAGCTGCAACCATCCTCAACACAGACCTGACAACATTCCACCAGGCATCCCTGGATTTGGGTGCAATTGCTCAGAAAGCCGTATGAGAATGACAGCGATAGAGTGAGGCAAACATGAGGATAATTCCAAGTCCACTGCAGGAGGAAACTATTCCTAAACCTTAGTACTTCAACTAGTATTAGTGATCAAGAACTTGCAACACCTCGAAAGTGACTGAGCACAACAGCGATCTTGAGAGCTGCTGTTCTAAAAGCTTCAAGAAGCCAGAGGGAGTGGGGGAGGCTGCAGGATGAAAGAGAATGGGAGGCGGGGAAGCAGGCTCCCTCTGAGCTCTCAGAGAGCAGAGCCCTTGCTGCCCTGGCCTGAGTCTTTGCTCCAGAAAAGGGGACCTGTGTCAAGATGGAACACAGAACACACATTCCAGGGAAGGGCCATGGAGGAGGGGAAGGAGGGCAGAGGAGAGGGCATGAGGAGCATCAGGGTGAAAGAAGGGAGCAGGAAAGGGTGGAGGGGAAGAGCTCTGGACCGTAGCACTGAGGAAGATGCCCCAAACTGTATTTCCCGTTCTGGTCCCAGCTCTTCCTAACCGGCTGTGTAAACCTGGGAAAGCCACTTTCCCTCTGGGCAGTCTCCTCATTTGTACAATGAAGGGACTGGGCTCCTAACCTGAGAGTCTCTGATGCTGTGAAATCTGTGAAAAGAGGAGAGATGGGACGGGGGCGGGACAGGATGAGGTGTGAGGAAAAAACAGGCAAGAAAAGGATAGAAACAAACAAGGAGAAGAGGGAAAGTATAGCTGCCATGTGCAGCATGCACCTGGCCTGGGTGTGCTGCTAAGACTGCCCGTCTGTGATGTGATGTCCTTTGATTCCTACGGTGCCACCTGTGTTTTACAAATGAGCACGCTGAGGCTCAGAGAAGTTACATCACCTGTCAGAGGACACTGCTTGCTAGTAAGAGGTGGGGCCAGATTTCAACAGAAAGCTCAATCTCAGGGCTTGTGCTCTTAAGCCAAGAGGAGACAGGATGGATAAAAGATGGACAGAAGAACGGAAGGGGATGGACGAGGCAAGAGTGCAGATGCACGGTGAAGAGGTGTCTGAGGCAAGGAGGGTGGGAGGGACAGAACTTGGCAGGAGAGAAGGCGGAGAAGACATGCAGGGAAGGCAGCCACGCATACCTGAGTGATGGAAGACAAGGTGGGTGACATTGCTGGCGAAAATTGTTTGGGCAGCTGCTGTTGGGACCTTCTGGCGTCGGCTGGGCCCGCGGGCAAACTCAGGGGGCTGAGGGGCACACGGCGGTGGCGGGGAGAGGCCCCAGGGGTAGAAGCTGGGTAAGGGGGGACACCCAGCACAGGAGGTGAAGTGGAGGAGGAAGAGGAGGAGAGGGCAGGGGCGCTGAGTGAGGGGTGACCCAGGGAGGTGACGGGCAGTGCGTGGCGCGCCAAGGAGGAGGCGGGCAGTGAGGGGTGACTGTGGGAGCCCTGGAGCTGGGGCTGAGGACTGTTCAGGGAAGCCTGGAGATTGGGATTGCTTAGGGAGGACTGCAGGGATGGGTGGCTGAGAGGTGAATGAAGTCC